TTTTCCGCCCAGGGAGCAACAGGTGATGCATTATCCTAACGCTTGTGTCAAGGCTGTAGTGTCCCACGTGAAGCCTCCAAGTGCCGATGGGGGGCTTGCTTACCACCACTTGCTTGGATCTGGCGTCAGCCGTGCAGAGACGGGTAAAAATATAATCAATTTGGCTCGTCCCAGTCTTTTTGTTGGGGGCCACGTTAAATTGTGTGGGCTTGGCTGTGCCGTGCCACGTGTTGAGTGCCACTAGACCGTGGGTCTCCGCAAAGATTCCTAGAGAATGTGGGTCCAACGCGTCCGGACCAACGTGAAAAGGGGTATTGCAAGTGGCACGGCCTACATGAGGTGCTTGGGGCCGAAGTTCGGCTTGGAAATCCCCTGCAACAATGAGGGTTGCTCTCATCGGTATTCCGCTAACGGAGCTGCCGAGCTTGTTCAGAAGTCTCTGGCGTTTGTCCCGCAGCACGTCAGGGTTGCAGTTGAAGTTGCGGGGGCGCTGATAACAGTTGTAGATCTCCGCCCTCCCTTTCTCGGTGGTCAGTTGAATGCCACAGGAGAGTGGAGAGAGAGCCCACATTAAGGGAGATGATGCTGAGCCGCTGTCTGTAGTTCGCCCCGCCTCTTTGGTGTCGTTGTGGGGTGTGGTGGCCCGGGCTACGGTGAGTCTGGCTCGTGAGGATGTGCTGGATTTGTTGTGCCGTGATGGTTCTGCCTTTGTATGTGGTGGCGCCCTCTTGCCTTGCACGTGCCGCCGCCCTTCTAAAAGCACGCTTTGCTCCAGGAGGGACCGGTTGGGTTTCTGCAGCGGCAGCAAAGCAACAGAGCGCAAAAATGAGAAGACGTGTGCCGAGGCCAAGCACGCCAGGAGCAGGGCCTAGGACCCTTCCAGGTGTTCGCGCTATTGCCGGTCGACGGGAGGTTGGGGCCGGTCTGCGGCTCCCGTTGCTGTTGGGGGCGTGGTTTCGCTTCCCCTGCCCCCCTTGTGCAGGGGGGATAGGACGTGGCTGCCGTTGTGCTTTCCTGGTAGTTGCCCGGAGTGGGGTCGCGCCACCCGCCTCCTTCCCTCCATGGGAAGGCCGTGGATTGTTGCCACTAGTAGGTTCACCCCCTGTGAGGGGCTTAGGGGGAACCCTCACCTCACCCAGCCTAAGTCGTCTATGCAAACTCTGAGTAGTGGCTGGGCCGTCGGACTTGGGACCGACGCGGCTCTGACATTTGTGCTTTCTATCCGGGAGTCTACGCTGTATTTGCCATGGTGGCCCTGGTCGTCTGCGACAAGCGAGCCTAAGGAAACTAAGCAGAAGCAACAGGAACCCCAAGCCAACATCACAAACCTCCATGCGCTCAGCCGGTCCTGGTAGCTCTTGCTGATTGTTGTCCGTCTGGGCCGTGGTACCTGCGAGTTGAAATGGAGTGTCAATTGGGTGCTGGGGTCCGGATTCCTGCCTGCCTTGTAGCCATGGTGTCAGGGGGGAGTATTGCCTGACACTCTGTGCGATCCGGCTCCCTCCTAGGGCCGATGCTGAGCCGTACATGAGTCTTGATTGAACACCGTTTTCTTCCGCAGGGCAGCGACAGTCCTCTCTCACGCGAAGAAAGCAACGACTGCAGCGGAAACCGGCCCTGACAAGCATCTTTGCGCATGCCTTGCTTCGTGGCGGAGGTCGTATGCTGCTGGGAGCCGTTGTCACCGGTGCAAGAGGGTGCTCGGGAGATGCATGATGGTGCTCTCCGATCCAACCAAAGTCATGCTCCGCCTCTTGTGCCAGGCCATGCTGTGCTTCCAGACGAGATAGGGAATGAGGCCCAGCTTCCGAGGAGGAGGCCGCCTCCCCTGGGCTGGACGGACGGCTTGTGCGATCTGAGGATGGTCCAGAAAGATGTGGGGCTCTGCTTGGCTTAGGGGCCTGTCCTAATGGCACCCTCATAGTCTCTATGTCCCGCTGCTTTGTGCGAGACCGTTGCTCCTCGACGTCCCGAAGTTGGGGTCGCAAAGTGGGAGCTGGCCTGGGTGACCCGGGGCGGGTATTCATGTCTCTGTGGAACTCGCCGAAGTAGCTGACCGACCGGCGTGCCTGGTTCTGCCCTCGTGTGTCCAACTGGTGTTGAAGCGGGGGCCTCTGGGGAGGGCTCCAGCCATGCTTCATCCTCCGACCAAGCATTGTCAGGGATGGGACTCAGCTCCAGATTCGGAGGAAAACCTTCCGGCGTGGAGGCCAACCAGGCATCATCATCCGACCGAGCGTGCTCATCGTCCCCGTCCGGGGAATAGAGCCGAGAAGAGTCCGAGGGCGAGGCCATGAGAGTAGCTACTACAGATCCCCGCACGTTGCTAGCTTCATTGGCCCTATGATGCACAAGGAACGCAGCTTCGAGGCCCAAGTGTTCATGCATAGGCCGGCTCCCTCTCAGGGCCGATGCTGAGTGCTGTCCGTGTTCGCTGATCCCGTCTGGCCTTCGGCCTGCGGCAGCCGCTGTGGCAAGTGCCGGTCGCGTGCCCGATGGGTCCTGCAGGAGCAGCAAGCAAGGGGAGAGTGTAGAGGTCATGACCACGCCCTCATGTGGCCGTGCAGCAGAAACATCTGAAAGCAAGACAGCCATATATGCTCGACGGTGCGATGCGTTTGCTCGAGTCGTGCGGGGTGGGGCCGAAGCACGGCCGCCCGGGGCCGAGGCACGGCCGGAAAGGTGAGCTTTCAGCACCCCTTTCAAAACATCTGCCTCAGCTGGGGCGCCTTACCGTCTGTGGGCAGGACCTCTTCCCCTGTGGCCCTGATGATGACTGCCACGATG